TTGCGGTTACACGTTTTGGGCCGTCATGTTTTCTCTCTGGCCAGATTCTGTTTTACTAGGGACTCTAGGTATTCCTATCCGTTCTCTTGATTGATAGGTTATCAATCAAGTACGATCAAGTACGATTAATGACAAAGGTAAATGCACAAAGTAAAAAGAAGGAGACCAAACTCAAGCGGCCCGAAAAAAATGGGCTCAAAACATGGTGCCGGAAAAGCGTTACATGGAAGAACAAGAATTTGAGCGCTCCTGTCGGAAAAAAACTATCAACTTAGAGGATTTGATAAAAATTTTTTCTCCTATTTTCCTGTAATTCTGTAAATTTGTATATTTTTATGCGTAGAATATATTCTGAGGAGAAAAGTTGTCGTTTAAGTCTTGTTTTTATTCTTTTTAATTTCAAAGTTTTTTAATGTCGGTAAGTTAAAAAACGATAATTTAATGATAATTTATGACTATGCATAAATGGATTTATTGGTATTTTTTAATAAATATTGATGCATTTTTACTATTTAATCAAATAAAATTAAATTTTATACAAATTGGAATGTCTGTATTAAAAATATAGTATTGTAAAACGTGCAAACATGTGTATTCCGTACGCGGAAGCATGTGGTATATACTTGCAACTTTTCCCGCAATGGCACTAAAATCACATACATAGTCCCGATTTTCCATGGGTTTTCCAACACTGTGTTTCGAATCCATTTTTATCCTCGAGTTTGGTTTGGTCTCTTTCTTTCTACTCCGTAGGTGAATGTTAAGATCCTAGTAGCACACACTTTATTCGAGGGACGTTTCTGGCGAACGTCCTTAGGACATAGAGATATTCTCTAAATATTCTTTGGAACTTGGAGATCTGTTATTAGGGGAAGAGCCCAAATTTTGATAGAAGTACACAGTGCGACAAATATGTTCCCGGACACGAACCACATCTCAGCAACCAGTGGCAACATCTGTGCGTTCAAACATGCATTTGAAAGGTTTAACATTTCCCTATCATCTGTCAAAGTTTCATTCATTTTGGTTGACATATAACGAAGATATCACAGTTCATGTTAAACAAGATTTTGGTCGAGGTAGAAATTTTTGTTAATCGCCAAAATTGCCGCTTTTGGGGTACGGAGAACCCACATGTGATTGTCGAAAAACAAATGCATCCACAACGTGTCACTGTTCGGTGTGGATTTTGGGCTGGAGGCATCATTGGACCATACTTTTTTGAAAATGAGGCTGGTCAAGCAGTGACTGTTACTGGTGCTCGATATCGCTACATGATAACACAGTTCTTTCTGCCGAAATTGGATGATATTGATGTGGCCAATATGTGGTTTCAACAAGACGGTGCCACATGCCATACAGCTCGTGAAACAATTCAGTTACTGCATGAGACGTTTCCAGGTCGTGTACTCTCTCGTTTAGGTGATCAGAATTGGCCCCCTAGATCGTGTGATTTAACACCATTAGATTTCTTTTTATGGGGTTATTTGAAATCACAGGTCTATGTCAACAAGCCCACAACCACCCGTGCATTAAAGGAGGAGATTCAACGCTGCATCAACGAAATTCAGCCACATTTATGCAAAATGGTCATGGAAAATTTCGACAAACGAGTGCGTATGTGCATGCAAAGCCGTGGAGGCCATTTGCCCGATGTGTTATTCCACAAATAACCCTATCCTATGTACTTTATGATTCAATAAAAAAATAACAATCAAAAGACTAAAAACTGTGTTTTCTATTTAATTCAAATCTTGCGTTAATTTTGGGACACCCTTTATAAGAGCAAATATTTTCAAAAAATTAAAATCCAATTTTATAGTAGCAACTGCACTATATATACTCCATATGTGCGTGCGTGCGTGCGTGCGTGCGTGCGTGTTTATATGACATACTAGAGACACCACTATGATAATGCAGATACTATAGAGACGTACTGGATATATAATAAAGCGTACTCATACATCTCAAAATAACTACGGTATATCACTAGAAGCTCCTTACGAAAGTCTACGGGATAAGAAACCGCGGACATAATAGATTTGAAAGAAATTCTTTATGCGTCACAGACGCGTTTTGAATATCTTGACGACGTATTCAACATACGTTTGCGATATTGTTTTAACGTTGTCAGGACGTATATGGCTATCTGGGTTATGCTTTAAAAACATAAATTCTCTACTAAAGTAATGAATTTATATTTTAAAAGCAGTGAATTTATGTTTTTAACATAGTGAACCATTGTTGCATATTTACTCATGCACACACCTTGGGTGCTTTTCAATTGCTTAACATTGTTTCGTCCTGACTCCACAGTTCTTTTCTTCGACTAAAAACTTTCGTCATCACCATAAAAATTATTAACAAGTAATACCGGTAGACCATCTGTTTCTACCATGAGAGGTTACAATAGCGACGAGCCGAATAACATTTACCTTTTTGAACTAATAATCCACTCGGGACAGAGTCGTTGGATTAGATATTTGAACCAAGTGCCAAATAGGCGAACTTTATCCCGAGGAACAGGAAGAATAAATAGATAACACCCTTTATCTATTTATTCTTCCTGTATTATCTATATCTCGGTGTAAAGACTCTTTATGTATAAACAAAATAAACAAAATAAATGGCGAAAAAGAGTCGTCGTATAATATATATAATTAAAAATAATAGTCATAGATACATGAAATAAAATAAAATAAAATAACAAGTAAAACGGCGTATATTAAGATATAAAATAATAAAACAAACAAGTTTCGGCTGCTGGATTGAGCCCTCCTCAGATGTAAAAAGAATATAATATAAAAGACATAAAAGAATACAACAAAAAAATAATGATAAATCGATAACATTCAGTGGCGCAACATTTTTAACGCGAGGAAATCAGCAAATGTGATGGATCTTGACGTATTATAGCTTAATGTTGTATATGCCATGGGGCAATCAAACCGATGTTAAGAAACATAGTCAAGTGCTGACTGAAAAACGGAAAAGGAAGGGAACTCATAAGAAACAAGTAAACTAAAAACTTTAAAACCTTAAAAACTAAACACGCCGCAGATAAGAAGCCAAGTGCTCACTCACCAACGCATCCGAACAGGAAATGAGAACGCCGCA